AAATTCATCTACGCATGTTTGTAAATATTACATAACTCCCCTGTTATGTCACGGTCGACTGAGGGATAGACTGGTTAATTTACTTTAATCTCGCTTGTTTAGTTGTTGTTGTTTCAGTTTGTTTTTACTATGTTTTTACGTCATAGCCGAAACCCTTTTGAGAGCACCAGATTGACATGTAACAAGTGGCCTTTATCAAACAGGGGCGAAGCCACCATAAATGCACGGACACTTCAGTTTTCTCTTCAGTGCGCACGTCGTGCAAATTGCACGCCATGTACGTACTTACCAAATCAATCATGATATTGAGACTCACCGCACAATTTGTTTTACTCAGTCACGTAAACGTTGAAATTGGTATCTCAAGCTTTCCTTTTCCTTTATTTCAAGAAAAAAGTGATAGCATGTGTTAGGGTGATAGCGCTTTATTAAGTTTTTTTTACTCTATATATTTTTGTGACTGAATTGTGACAAGGTATTTCGGCATTTGCATTTAACAGATTATCTTTGATCCTAAAGGGAAGCCAGAGCGATCAGCCATTGAATTGTAATATATATACGCACGATTTGTAGCTAGATTCGATTCCTTGCGACAAATTAAAAATTTGCTGATTCATTTTAATTCCCTGCTAAATGAAAGTGAAAACAGTTTACGTTGTTTCAACCCGGTAAATAACTAAAAGTTTAAAAATAACGATATCGATTTTAAAAGCTAACGATTGATTTAGCCCTTCAAGGGTTTAAGACAATCTTTTTACGAACTTGACAATACACGGAAAAATTGAGTAAACTCTCATTTTGCAGTATCACTGTGGAGTTGATCTCCCTGAACAAACCAAAGAGTATGTATCAATGGTAGTTATAAGCGCTGCGACGTCGTTACTATTACTCTAAAGTTAGGCTCAGTAATTTAAAAAGATGGCCAAAATTGCTACTACAAAAATTACGAGAAGTGAACTGATTGCCAAAAGACCTCTCTGCACTTCCCGTTGCATCTGCTGGCCATATCTCATCTGGGGAATCGTCTTCGTTATTTCAGCTTTGACGTTTTCACGTGGGAAGGCAACAGTGGGGACTTCGCACTCCAAGAAAT